CTTACAATAGTAACGGCCTCAGCTTGTTTCTTAATGACAATGCAGATTACACAAACTAATGCTTGTTGAAGATTCAATTTTAAGTCATAGAACAAAAGATTACAGAAGTATAAATGAACCAGATGGGCCCTCAAAGGCCCCCTGATAATACAGATGAGGAAGCTAAGGCAGTAGGTAATTAAGTGACTTGCCCAAGGTCACACAGGTAGTTAATTGTCAAAGACAGGATAAAATAATTAGGCTGTATCAGAAAATAGGTAATTTACCTTCCTAATGATACATATAGATTTAATACATCCTAAGGTGAAGCCAAGGCCTCTGGTTTTGTTTTTCCAAGAAAAAAAAATTTTCAGTAACAATGATTAGTGAGGGTGGGCCAATGAAATTTTCTGTAGGCCTAATGATTTTTAAAAAATTATTTGTAAGGGGGCCGCTAGGTGGATAGAGCACTGGCCCTGGATTCAGAAGGACCTGAGTTCAAATCCAGCCTCAGACACATAACACTTACTAGCTGTGTGACCCTGGGCAAGTCACTTAACCCCACTGCCTAGCCAAAAAAAAAAAAAAAGATTAATAAAAATTATTTGTAAGGACATACTATGTTTTCAAGAGTAAACAAGAATACTGGAACACATTACCTACTTATGGATATGTTTATGAATTGTTTACAAATTTGAATATTGTTTATGAATAAACAAGAGACAGACAGCACTGTGAGGTGTAAAATGGATGATTTCAATTACATTAAATTAAAAAGGGTTGTACAGTGACAATTAAAAGATTAATCATTCCATGCTACTTTAATATAAATGTAAGAAAATGGCTACATATTTACTGATATTTTAATTGTGAAGTGTTGTTTCCTTTATAAAAGATAGTAATAAAGCCACAGACTATAAAATATTCTAAGAATAAGCAATAAAGGAATAGACCAAAAATACAACAAGATTACTTTATCTATTGTAAAAAGGCTTCTCTATAAGAAAAGAATAGAAAAGGCATGGTGGGAAGAGTCAAAAGATCAATGTTACTTTTGTGTAAACTCTCACATGGTAATAACTACAATGAAAACTTGAAGACGATCCTCCTATAATCCCATTAGATAATCTACAAAAAAAATACACATATTTGCAAGCCCTATAGCACTATATAAATATTTGCTATGTTCATAATTATGAGCTATGTGTACAAAGTTTAAGTACTCAGCTATCTTGAAGTTAATGCTAGCCAACGGTACTTTTAAAGATATTTTCTGGCTCAGCCACGACAATCCTAAGAGTTCATAATTAAGCCACTCTGCTTGTAGTACAAAGCATTCACATGCATTTAGAGGAATTTTTAAAAAATGTAATCATACATACTGATCATCTTTTTAATCATGTGTATATAGTTATCCTAATTACAAAGAACTGCTGGTCTGTATCAAGAAAAGGGCTCATTTTAGAATAGAATATTTTATGTTATCTATAAGGCTCTTCTTATTTATTGCAGTAAGCAAGATAAAGTTAGAGGCACTAGAGAATGCTTCTGCTAACAACATTTATGATTCAAATTTTATGCCATAAATTTCACATGATAAATATGACTGAGCAATCAGGTAAAGAGGTTGTTTACTTTTGGAAATGGAATGGTATTAAGTCAGCAGAACCTTTAAATATCATTACTTTAAAGCATTTCTCCTCCACACACAAAATACTTTTATATTTGCTGCCTCTCTCAATGTGAAGACAAAACTGTTACTTTTAAAGATCATATTCTGTGGCTGAAAGAGCTTTCAAAAAGTCATGATCTGAAGTTAATAATTAAGTAATTTTAATTAATTTTATCCCCCAAAATGGTAAAACTGTAGGGAGAAGGCTATCTCTTTCTGTTAATAGTCCAGCTGTTATCATGAAGACCTTTGGAGGCAAGCAACCATCTCTTCTTAATCCCAAGCCCCACTACCACCACTCTGGGGGAGTATTTTAATGCTGGACTGGGTACAATCCATATGATGAAAATAGTTGAGATCCAATGTCCAAAACTGGGGAAGGGATAATAATTCTTCAGGCGTTAAATTCTCACCAAAGATGTATAAAGGATACTGAGTTGGTGAGGCAGGAGAAGGATCTGGGAAAGAGTTCAATTATATAAATGGAATTGAAAATAGTTATCTCTATCACTGAACAGCATGGGGACCTGGGTCTCACCAGGCTATACAGAGAACAGCTTGAGTAATGACTTGATCTTACTTTGTTTTAACTATAACCCCAAGCTTTGACAATAATCTAGGTGGACCATGCCTTTTTTAGCCCTTCAAAAACCTTTTCTTGTGCATGCATTCTTTTTTCTGAAATACTTTAACCTTTTCAAATTACACGTTTCATCTCTGAAAGCAAAAAGCAGTGAAGGCTTCACACTTTTCTTTGATCTGTGAATGGGGTGAAGGTTGGAGAGAAAAAATGCTATTTATGATTTTTTCAGACCTTTGCTGAAAGAGATTATAAACATAAGGGATGGGGTGGTCATTTTCTTAAAGACTCATTTTAACAAATGAAGCAAGACTTAAATGTGTTACAAGATCTCTACTATTTAAAAACTTAAATTTTAAACCATATTTTGTGCATAACAAACAGTTATACTGAGTAACCTTTCTACCCACATCACCATCACCATTAACAGACTAAAATGCTTTCAACAGTTTCACTGATATCACATGGCTGCAAGTCCCCCACCTAATGTGCTACCCTTGTTAGAACAGCATGGGATACTTAAATGTTCCAACAAGTCTTCTGGGGAAACATCTTCTATTTACGAATGTGTGACTTGTAGTAGTTCCGTTGGCCATGCATTAGGTGCAAAAGGACTTCCAAATCAAATACCAAGTATGTGAATGAAGGCTTTGATTCCTGGGCTTTGAAAATTTCCTACTGATAACAAGAGCAGCTTCTCTGGGTAGGAAACTATGTCAAATAATGTCATATCGACTGAATAACTCCTAGAAATCTCATTGCTCTGGAAAGGTGAAGAGGAATTGGGAGCCTAATGCACAGTCAACAATAAATCCCTAGGAACATTTCATTTTCATAAATTCACAGGGTTGGACCATATGACTGCCACCAATAAGTTAAGAAACTATTCTAATCTTAAAGATTCTTGAGAACCTTCTATAACCACTTTAAATGATCCATCTAAATGTATACTATGAGAAAATTAAGGTTTTTTTCCTTCCTGATATTTAGCTTAAATGTCGTTTATCACCTTGTTTGATCCTCCACAGTAATAAAGACCACTATCTTCTGTGTTATCTCCTTTACAGTGAGAAAACTCTCTAGGCAAAAATTCCAATCTGTAAAAGACATAATTTAGTAAGTGACTATTTGCATTGCAAAATAATGAACCTCAGGGATCTTTCTTTTAACTAGTAAACATCCCTAGTGATTTTCAAGTATGATTCAATTTATGAAGTTTAATTGACGTATAACTTTTCAGGCAAACATCTATTCCATAAAATGAAGTAGACCTCTACTAAAAACCTATCGTCATTCCTCATCCTTCTCTGCCTCTGGCTAAATAATCCCAGTCTTTTAACCTTTCAGCATGGCTCCTATTTCTTGTGAATAATTGAGAAGAATATTCAGAGGGAAATTATAAAGTTCTCTACGTCACTTTAGTTGTGGAGGTCAGACTTAGACACTAACTACCCAGGTACATGAATGAGGGAGATATCATGATTTTTACATAGGAGGCATGACCAAATTTCAACATAGGAATTCAGGTGGCTCCTCTGCAGACAAACATGTAACTCCTTAAAGTAAGAGGCAGTCTAGCAAGGCCCAGTATCCCAGTGAGCAAAGCAAAGCAGAGTACAGGATAAGGGTATCAGAGGAACAAAGTTCAGGTAAGGATCACAAGGTGAGATAAACAGGAATGGGGCCAGGGATGTAGCAGATACATATTGCTAAAGACAAGATACAACATAAACCCCAGCCTGCTAAATATTTCCCCAGGTTTCAAATCCAACATTGAGGTATCATGCTAACGCTCCTCATATTGTGGACTTAATGAGCATCTCTCCCAAAGGTTGTGTCTAGGTTTAGCTGTGCTTTCTAGCAATATTTCCTGAAGTCACAATCAGAACAAGAACCAAGTCCTCTGATGCTGTGTTTAGTGATGTCACTACTCCCAATTGCCTCCCCGGATATCTGTAATGCTTCCACCCTCTGATATTCCAAAGTACGGGTCAACGAGAGTTAGCCAGGGCACGTTCCAATTTCTGGCTAACGTCATACTGCATGGCACCTTTCAGAAGTTTGACGAACTACTGTTCATCCATACCTGAACTACATATATGAGTCCCATACACACAGCCTCTGAATTTTTCCATGTCAGTCCACTTGAAAGATGAAAGCTCCAACCAAAAGCTTACTGGTGACTGACAACTGATGATCTGGAATGAGTAGGTTCAATAATGGCTCTCATAGTCAGTCAGCTCTCACATTCTTGTAGCCAGAATCTCTCCAGATTCAGGACTACCCCTGAACCATGTAGGCTGGCATCAACATGTAATGCCAAAATTTTACTTGGATTCACAGATGCCAACACTAGCACATGTATAAGAAAGCTAATCAAGGCCTCACAGACAGGTCACTTTCTCATGCAAATGCCTCCAAAAGATACCAAGGGATGAAGTCGAGGCTATTCCTTCTTTCTGTTCTACTACTTCTGAATTTCCTTTTTTGGCCTTTGATTTTTAATTCCTCCCAAGTGACATATCCACAGCTGAGACTGTTGGGGGGCTTTGTAATGATAGCATCTTTTTTCAACAAATCTCTAATCATAATCACCTAATCCCTGAAATATCTTCCTTTGATAATTTTTATATATGAGTGCTTCTGTCTCCTATGTGTCAGTATTCACACAACACACACACACACACACACACACAAACACACACACACACAAACACACATGTCACTCCTCTAAAATAACTGTGATCAAAACATTTGACAAATACTCACCAAAACTAACTCTAGTTAAACAACTTCAGCTGTAAGACAATAGTTTCCGACTGATTGTACATCTTCCATAGCATCTCCTCAGATTCTTTGTGACTTTCCGAAAGCAATGAGATCATTCAGATAAACCAGTATCTCCAATTAGTTCATTACCACCCACCACTACCAGGAATCATTGCAAAATGTGAGGTACATGGAAATCCCTAGAGGCATGTGCTCAATTTAATAAAAAATATGTCCTGGTCAAATCACATCTAGCGTGCGAGTCAGCACTATTTAGTTCTGGCACCATATTTTAGGAAACTCAGATGGGCTAGAAAATTTCCACAGGAAGACAAACAGGGTGTTGAAGAACAATAAGTCCATGTCCTATGAACATCAAATAAAGGAACAAGAGATGTTTAGTCTGGAAGAAGAAAGATTCATTGTTACAAAGGAGGATTATATTTGGGGGAAGGTGAGATAGAGAGTTATTAGGAAGTTACAGTATTTTTAAAGTGCATCAATAAAACATTAGTTTAACAAAAGTACTGGAAGAAAAAGAGGGAATGAACAGTGGGAGAGCATTATAACTATTTTCAGGTATCTAGATTGATCAGTCTTGAATATTTTTTTTCTCTTTTTCCTCTTTCTTTTTTTCTTTAAAAAAAATTGTTTGTTATAATGAGTAGCTCTTTGGGAGGAACAGGGGAAGGAAGAGAAAATTTAGGCAATGATTCAAGAAAATAATTTGGAATTATGCCCAAAAAGTTACTAAACTGTACAAATCTTTTACCCTAATGATACCATTACTAGGCCTATATATCATAAAAGAAAGAAGCCAGATTTGAACTCATGAAGAGGAGTCTTCCTGACTCCAGGACTAGCACTCTATCCATTGTAAAGGAATACTATTGTCTTATGAGAAATGACAAAAAGAAAGGTTTCAGAAAAAACCTGGGAAGATATGTGTGAATTAATGCAGAGTGAAGTGAACAGAATCAGGAGAACAATTTATACTAAAACAACAATAACATAAAAATTAATAATTTTGAATTACTCTAATCAAAACAATGATCAATCACGATTCCAGAGGACCCATGATAAGACACGCTACCTACCTCCTGACAAACATTTTTGAACATGGCCGACATGGAAATGTATTTTGCTTGACTGTGCATTATTTGTCACAAGGCTTTTGTTTTTCTTTTTTCCTGGGGGAGACAGCATTAAAAATTTAATTTTCAAAAGAATACCTACAAGAAAGAATACACAGAGACAGTTTAAATCGGTCAAAGGTCCTCCAGAAGAACATGACAAATCAAAAAACATAAAACATCAAAAGGTAATAAATAATATAAGAAAACAACCCCCAAAAAATCTGCAAATGGCGGGAAGACAGACCTTCAATTATAAAGGAAAGAAAATTCAAATAACATGAGATTATTCCACATTCACCAGTAAATGCAGAAGGAAATGGAATAATATATCTAAAGAGCAATGATGGTCAAGCTAAAATCCAAAATGACAAACCCTATAAACTTGAATCTAATCAGAGAGGTGGGAGGAATGGCCTGGGGTGTGGTAGCAGACCACCTTCTCTAAGAAAGTGTTATGCTTCCATGAATAACATTCTGTCCCAAGCTGCTAAGGCCAGAGGGGTGGGGGAGATATGGATGACATGGCATAGCCAATGGGATGGAGAATAATCATAGGCAGACCAGAGCATAGGACTGGACCATGTGCTTTAAGACACAGGGTAATTTCTGCAACGAGTATTACTTCTAACCACGTTACTTTCCTCATGAATTGATACTTTTAAGAAACAAGAGAAGAACAACAGAAAAGAGAGACAAGGGAGCAAAATTTACATGGGGAATAACCTAGGAACTGATTAAAAGAGAGTCTTCAAATGAAGTACTTCAGAAGTTTTAACCCCTTGAGGAACAAAAAGAGGTTAAAAAAGGAATAGATAAGAATATAAAACATGAGTAAAGAAATAAACTTTCAGAAAAGACTAGGGAAGGAAATTAATGAAGAGAACAAAGCCAATAAAACCTTCTTATAAAAAGGCATAGAAAAAAAAAAGAGAAAACTAACGAACATAAAAAGTTGGAAAGGGTGGATTTAAATTAACAATAGTAATGAGAGGAAAAAGAAGGAATAGAGGAGGAAATAGATAATTAAACAAGTGAAAAGAATAATAATTTAAATAAAACCACAAAACTGAGGAGAAAGATGACAAATGAGAATAGAAAGTGAGGGAGAAAAGAGAGCCTATGAAACTTGAGCAGAATCAGAGTAACGTAAGCAAAATTAATTACAGGGATAAAGTATTAAGAGAAGAGAAAAAAATTTAAATATTAAAAACTAGAAAAATAGAGGAAAACACAAACTTCACTCATAACTTTAAGCGTGAATGGGCTAAATAATCCAATAAAATGAAAGAGTGACAGAATCACCAAGAAAACAAAACTCCACAATTTATTGGTTATGAGAAACATAACTAAAAAAACAGACACACATTAAATCAAAATGAGAGGCTGGCACAAAATTTACTATGCATAAGGATAATCAGAAAAGAAGTAGAAGTTGAATTCATGTTAGAAGACAAATAAATAACTCATAATAACAATAGAAATAAACAAATTATATTATTCTTAAAGGAACTATCAACAACGAACCAATATCAGTATTAAATGTATATGCACCATGTAGCAAAGCATCTACATTCACTGGAAAAAATAACTGAATTATAAAAAGACTCACAAAGTAACACCATAAGAATAGGAGATTTATAATGTTCCTGCCTTCGAGCTAGACAAATCTAACAGAAAGTTCTTTTTAAAAGGGAAAATATACAACTGAAAAACTGTTGAATTTAGAGCTAAAAGATTTATGGTATCTTTTTTGAATGGGACCACTAAAGGAGGCAAAGAGAGAGAGAGAGAGAGAGAGAGAGAGAGAGAGAGAGAGAGAGAGAGAGAAAGTGATGTAGCTTAGTATCATATGACATTTTTACAAAACTAGAGCATTATCAGGGCACAGAAAAACAGCAATTAAATGTAAAAAAGCAGAAATACTAAACACATCTTTTATGGACCATAATGTAATAAAAATAATCATCAACACAGGAAGCATAATCAAAAGAGGCAGATCTAAATTCAGACTTAATAATGAAATCCTAAACAATGAATATGTCAAAGAACAAATCACAGAAGCAATTAATAACTATTTGAAAGACAAATGATGAGACGTCATGCCAAAATGTCTAGAATGCAGCTAAATCAGTCCTCAGAGGGAAAAGTATATCCCTAAAAACATACATTATCAACATTTAAAGCTAGGATAGTCCTAGTCCAAATCTTTCATTTTATAGATCAGAGAAATGAAACCCAGCAAGGTTAAGCAACTGGTCTGTGGTCACACAGTGGCAGAAATAGGCTTCAAATTCAGACCCTCTAACTTCAAATCTAGCACCTTTTCCACTGCACCAAAGCAGACACATAAGAATATCCTCTGCTGATAACAAACAAATCAGTTAACCAAGGCCAACTTGGTTTACAGTTTATCCAAGGAAAATACTGCTTTCACCTTCATAGAAGAGACCTTAATTATGTGATTTATCAGCATCTGTCTCTTTCCTACTTATTCCTATTTTTCTATGCAGCTTGCTTGAGGAAAGCCATGAAACAAGTTCAAATGCTTAATCATTCTGCTCCAAAGAATTTAAACATGCAGGAAAAAAAAAAAAGCACATTCCAAAGAAAAAAAATACAAATTTTTTTTTGGTCATCCAAAAGTAGGAGTAGTGTTATTGTATCTCACATAAATAAGCAGTGAGAAATTTGGCCAATCACCAGTTAGTCCAAAAGCACAGAAAACAGACTTACTAACATTTAAGCTTTTAAAATGTTTTATTTGTAAGGGCAAGAGCCTTTCAGGAGTCTATTTGCATATGAAAGAGTCAGAAGCTAGCTGATTACCAGAGGCAATGGATTTGCTCCTGGGTGTGGATAACCTTTGTCAGAGTTAAAGCGAGTAGGGAGTAGTAGGGAGGGCAGCGAGGGTGGGATAACCAGGAGCCAACCCTGAGGATGTAGGAAGAGTAAGAACTTGGAACCTGATGAGAATCCTGATGCTCAAAAGATGGCAAGCCCTTGAGCTAAGATACTGAGGGAACAGATGTGGAGACTTCCCATTCATCCTCTGGCAAGGGCTCTGTTGCTGTCCAAAAGAGACTAGCAGGGTATTAGTAGAGGATTTCAGTTTAGTCAGCTGGAAGCTTCAGAAACCATAACCAACCAGCTGAACGATACACTCTGCAAAAAGCAGGCTCAGTGAGCACAGCAAAAAACACAACAACAAAAACACACACACCCCTACCCAAGATGCCTTACTCACTTAGAAGCAGTGCAGAGAAATCACAAGAGGACATCTCTGGCCTTGCAGCATTGTACTGGAAAGCTGCCCATCCACACTGCCTCCTGGATCTCTCTGCACTTGGTTACTATCCCCATGGACAGCAGGCAGGTGTGCAGGAGAGTGTAGCTTAAGTTTATGGGTAGAAATGTCCTTTTGTAAATTTACTGACTGAACTCTTCCAGTAAGTGTCTTTGTTTTGAGCTAATTGTGTCTGGCTAACAACTAAAAGGTAAATGTTGATGGAAGCTCGAAGGAAACTATCCCCTAGGAGATATGAATTGATGGGGGAGGAGGAAAGGATAGTACAAAGAGGTGCTACATACTTTAAAAAAACCATACAACTGGGCCATAATGGGAGTGCTTTTCACTCTCATAGCTCAAAGCCCCCACCAAGGACCCTGATAATAAGTGTGTGTGTGTGTTTGTATATATATTATAAATATTTTTTTAATTTTTACTTTTACTTAACCTATGATTTTATTGATACAGGAAATTCCCAGTAAGGAAACTCCTTCTACCAACGCAGATCAACATCTCTTTTGCTACTTAGAGTCTTGGGGAGTTAAAGTCTTAGAGCACTGGGCCTGGAGTCAGGAAGACTTGAGTTCAAATCCTGTCTCAGACACTTACTTGTTGTGTGACCTAGTTTATGTCATTTAACCTTTGTTTGCCTCAATTTCCTCTTCCCTAAAATGGGGATAATAATACCATCTATTTCTCAGGGCTGTTGTGAGGATTGAATGAGA